GAGAAATATGATACAGGACACTGTGGTGGTCTTTTTAATGTGTCAACATGACTAGGCTACAGCTCACAGTTATGCAAGCAGACATCAATATGTGTGTTACTATGAAGGCATTTTTATGTGTGATTAAAGCCCATAATCATATGACTAAGAGAGATCATCCTAGATAATTGGAGTGGGCCTAATTCAGTCAGGCCTTCCAGTCAGATGAAAGGCCTAGAAAACAGAGCTGAGTGTTACAAGGAGGAGGAGGAGTGTTACAAGGAGGGAAGGGGTAACTGGAAAGGGAAAAGCAGAAAGGGAAGATGTCTACCTGTGAATAAAAGCTTTAGCCTATGGCTGAGGGTTCCAGCTTGCCTTTCCTAGTAGTCCACTTTATGATTATGGGCTTGGTTTGCCATTTCCTACAATCACATAAATCAATTCCTTATTATAAATTTGTCACTATATAGCTCCTATCATTTCAGCTTTTCTGGTACAGATTTTGGCAGAGAAAACATATTACCTTAGCAAATATCTAAATCATCATAAACAACTTATTGGTAGAAATGTGGACATCAAAGTGGTTAGTGATAAGGACTCAGAAGGCAAAGAGGATCATGTTACTGGAAACTTGAGGAAGGGTGATGCTTGTTATATAGTGGCAGGAAGCTTAGCAAAATCACACCCTCCAGTTATGTGGGAAGCAAAACTTGTAAATAATACAATTGAGTGTGTAGGTGAGGAGATTTCCAAGTAAAGTGTTGAAGATGCCTCCCGGCTTCTTCCTGCTTATAGTAAAATGTGAAAAGAACAAGAGAAATTAGGGAAATGGTTGTGAAACAAAAAGGATCCACACACAACTCAATGATTTAAAGTTCTCAGTGAAGAGATTCACTATTGAGAAAGTATATCGTAAAGAAAAAGCTGAGTGTGTCTGATGAAACTTCTCCTAATACCTCAGAAAGATTACTACAAATTGAGAGTATTTAGTCATACAAACAACTCTGCAAAGAAATTAAGTAAGTGATTCATAGATCATTTCAGCCATCTAACAGAACCCCCAAAGAGAAATGAGATTATCTAAGGAAAATTTGTAGACAAACCTCTTCCTTCTAATATGCCCGGAAACCTTCCAAGTTTTTTGGGATTTTTTTGTCAATAGAAACACTTGCCTCTTGAAATTAAAAACATAAAATTAAAGAAAACTGTCAGACCCTCCTAATTCTATAGACAGGAAACAAGTTGATAAAACTACTTAGCTTCAAATACAGACCACACTACAAAAAAGACAAAAATCCTAAAGATCACCAAACACCTAATGTATGAAAACCTCTGCGGGTAGAGAAACAGGACTCCACATTTTAAAATCCATGCTAAATTAATTTGGAGAAAATTAGCTTTGGGAAGGAGGCAAGAATTAAATTTCACTTCCAGCATCAGAATGATTGTCCTGAGGAAGATGTGGTGGACTATTCTAAGTAGTTTCTATAAGCCAAAATAATATCAGTGAGTGAAAAAGCATAGGGAGCAAATTTAAACCAAATTTAATTCTTTTTTCTTTTTCTTTTTCTTTTTTTTTTTTCTTTTTTAGTGCTGGGTTTTGAACCTAAGGCTTCACACATTCACACATGCAGGACAAGTGCTCTATCTCTGAGCTACATCCCAAGCAACTCCCTTTTTTATTTTGAGACAGGGTCTGTCTAAATTGCCAAGACTGGCCTCAAATTTGTGATCCTTCTGCCTCAGCATCCTAGCGGCTTACAGGCATGTGCCACAATGTCTGATTCCTAAAGGATAACTTTTTAACTCTCACAACCATTAAAGATGGAATAGGCTACCTGATGAGATAATGAACTTTTTATCATACATACTTTTAAACAGAGACTAAATGACTCTCCCTCAAGAATGTTCTAGGACAGCATTGGATGAGAAACAGGTGAGATGGGAAAATGGTGATTAAGCATTTCCCCATATTAAATACTCTGTGATTTGAAACTGCAACTTCTGAGCACTTACATGAAGGTCTGGGGTGATAATGATGAGTTGTGAAGTACAAATGTTACCTACCATCCATGGTAGAGTTGATCAACCACCTACAGAACATGAACATTTTTTTCTTCCAAAGGTAGTGATTGCCCATATCTGTTCTCCATTGTGAAGAAGAAGAGGAGGGAGAGGAGAAGAGATAATATAGAGATAGTCATAACTTGTTTTCAAGATGATTGATTGATAGTTAGCTATATAGATAGACAATGTAGAAGTATCGATCCCTCATTTTCAAGATGGTTGGGTGAATTAGCAAATCTAAAACAGGAAAAATAACTAAAACAGATTATTATTTAAATCATAAATACACAGGTCTTGACGTTAACCAATGCAGTTAAGAATTCAAATAACCATTAGATAATCTTGGCAGCTTATGATGTGTCTGCTCTTGTGTAACCTTCAGATTGATTATGTCTGAATCCTTTGGGTCTAGAACACCAATACCCTACCAAAACTACAAGTGTCTATAGTTACAAAGTTTCCCTGGCTTTGACCAGCTTTATATTCCATATACCATTAGTAATATCAAATAAGTCTGGAACAAACTGGTAGAGGTAGAAAATACTATTAGGATCAAAAAAATATGGGATATTATAGAAACATTAAAATTCATGAGAGTGTGCTTGAGGATATTTGGTTATTAAGGTTTTAAGCATTACCACTAAGCCTTGTTTTTGCATTGTAATTTTTGTATTGCTATCCCTGCTTTGATTTATTCTTGCCTTTAGAAGGGAAAGGAGTTATGCAGCAGCAAAATTGAGATCTTAGAGTATGTGATAAGGCTTAAAGAAATGGATTCAGGAGCACTTTGATCTAACAATTAAAAAGATGTGTTTTAAAATTTGAAAGGTGTTATGATGAAAAGAATCCATCAATACAATCCATAACAATAATTGTCCTAGTATATTCTTGGATTGGGGTAAATGTTTTCTTGTATTTAGTGATAGTGAATCCCATTAGCTGGATAAACAATATAACTGCTTAATTAAATAATGGGTTCTAAGACCAAAGTAAACATTGGAAGAGAAAACCTTTTACATAAAGGTGTTTTAACATTGAAGTCACTTGACATGCTATTTGCAGATAATTAGCAGGCTCACTTTCATGAATAAATAGTAGCTAGTACCTTTGCCTACACTAGAAGTGTATTTAACCATGGAAAGTGCAGCACAGATAATGTAAAAGCTGACTTAATGAAAGCTTAAAATCAATTTTCCATCTTCAACACAAACAGTACCCCTAAAACACATCCCATTTTTCAAAAGGTTTTAGCAACTCAAAGTTAAACAAAATGGTTAATAAGCAATGCAAGGGATATACTTTAAAATTTTTGAAAGGAAATTGAAGAAAATATGAGGAAATTTTTAGTTTCAACATATTTAATAAATAGGATAATTAACATCAACTAAACAAGTT